GTTGCGGCTCCCCCTCCGCGAACGTCAACAAACCGCCGGAGTCGAAGGGGCCAAGTGGTGCTTCTGACTCTGTTCCCAATCTGGATCCAGGAGAAGATCCTGAATCAGCCCATTATATGGACCAAGGTAACCAGACCAAAAGAACAGGAGAAGAACTAGAAAGGGGATAACGAAGGAAACCCAAGCTCAAAATAAAGAAGCCGGATGGAAAACCCCGGCAGAAATCCCAACCAACAAGAAGTAACAACTTAAACAAGTATAGAGGTAGGAAACGATAATTTCGTAGTACTCGTTCATTTAAAAGATGGATCTACAAACACAAACTTGAACAACCCATTAAAGTTAACTAATCAGAATTCCAAAAATACATAGTAGAGGACTCACTAAAAGTACTAGGGTCAGGCAAAGCTCTCAGATTTGGAATCAGGGATATAACAAAACTAAGACCATTTACCCATTGTCAACGGGCATGCCATGCCATGCCCACTGTGACATTACTTGTTTGATTGTTTATACACATAGATGGCTACACTTGTACTAAATCACCAATGAGCCAGTTACGAGTACTGCCGTCTCACCCCTTTACCCTCTTCTTTGATTTACGAAATATTTTACGTTATCGTATTTTGCTGTTACTAATGTTTAAAAACTATAATAATTATAATGTTTATAATAAAAAAATATAGAAAATAGGCACAGCATTTTCCCCATTTTTGGTTTGTTTTCCCTGGCGGCAATGGGTTAAAAGAAATAAACGATCTCGGAGAATGGGAAATAGTATGTGAGCAACCAACTTCAAACAAATACATAAATTGTTCCTATGGATCAATATTCCCAGTAGAAACAGACCTTAACATGAAAAATATCAACGAAAAAATAAGAACTTTAGGATATGAATCTAATGAAATAACTGAAGTAATAAGATGAAAAAGACAAAATGATGACAAAAAAATTAAAAAAAAAAAAAAAAAAACCACCAAATCCCTAAGAATCACTTTCAGAGGGACATTACCCAAAAGAGTAGCTCTAGGCCATACAAACTACCAAGTCAGGCAGTACACTTTCCCTATATTAAAATGCTACAATTATTTAACCCATTCACGCCGGGTATACATGACGTGCCCACTGTGAGTTTACTTGTTTAATTGTTTTTACGCATAGATGGCTACACTGCTACTTGTACTGCCTGTCTCGTCCGTTTACCCTTTTCTGTAATTTACGAAAATAGTTTAAGTTATCTTATTTTGCTGTTACTAATGTTTATAACATTATAGTAATTATAATGTTTATAATAAAAATAACCATTGATATTCATAGCACTAATAGAAAATACATTTTCCTGCTGTACGTGTAGAGACATTTCACAAAAAATATAGAAAATGAGCACAGCATTTTCCCCATTTTTTGTCCATTTTTACCCGTCGCGAATGGGTTAAGGTACGGACATGGGACGGTAACTTGTAAAAACAAAAAAAGATGTAATAACTGTAGCCAATATGGACATAACTTTAAAGATTGCCAGAATACCTCTCATTGTTTTTATTGTGATGAAAACCATTCACCAAACACAAAAGAATGCATGTGGACCAGATGAAATGATGTATGAGTTTTATAAGAATGTTCCAAATTTCATAGTAGAGTCATTCTTAACCAATATCAACTCACACTGGATCAAAGGAGAATGCCCTGAATCATTAAAAAAATGCACTTATAAACCCTATATTAAAACCGGGTAAAAATCTTTCAGAAACAAACTCATACAGATTCATTAGCAGAATTTCATGCATTGGCAAGATTTTTGAAAATATTATAACCAAAAGATTAATATGGTGGCTAGAACACAATAATAAGCTAGATATAGACCTAACAGGCTTCAGACCCAATAAAAATACGTCTGATGCACTACATACAATTGATAGTCACATAAACAAAGCTTTCATATATAAAAAATGTATAATATTAGCATGCATCGACTTAGAAAAAGCTTTCGACACTGTCAACCATGAAGTACTTCTAATCAAAGTGTCGTAACTAGGCATCACAGGAAAACCTCTAAAATGGGTGTAAAATACGTTAGAAAAAAAGAACCTATATATAATATGTTAGAAAATAGAACCTTTCAAATAAAAATTGGAAATCAAACTTCAGAAAAAGGAATAATAAAGAGTGGCTTACCTCAAGGTTCACCAGTAAGCCCAGTTTTATTCAATGTATTGTTAAATGATTTAAAATTATCAAAAGAAATTGAAAAGATAATATATGCAGATGACATAACCCTACTAACTAGTAAGAAAAACTTACTAGAAGCCTCTAACAAAATAGAAACAGAATTACAAAAGTTAAAAGAATGGGCCAATCACTGGGATCTGAAAATAAGCTTTACAAAAAGTAAACATATCTCCAATACTCCTCAAATAATTATTCAAAAACAATTTCAGGAGTTAATAAATACAAATTTTAAAAACTTTAACAGAATTTTCACCGATGGTTCTAAAATAAAAGAACCAGAATCAACCGCAGCAGCAATCTATATCCAAAACAAAAATATAACAACTATTTGGAAATTGCCTCCTAAAATAGGAATCACTCATGCAGAATTATTTGCCATAAAATAAGGACTAAAATGTGCAATAAATAACAAACTAACTAAAACAATAATACTAACAGATTCACAATCATCACTACAACTAATACAAAACCCCAAACCACTAAATTATAAACAGATCACATATGAAATGCAAAAACATATACACTTTCTCTCAACACGAAAACAAGAGATTATGATACCGTGGATTCCATCACACAAAAACATAAAGGGAAATGAAATTGTTGATCTAGCGGAAGAGAAAGCCCACGAAATGAATAATCCCATGTCTATACCACAAGACCCAAACTGTATCATAAAAGAAATTAAGTTAAAAAATAATAAATAATGGGAATCAAATTTAAAATGAATCTTAAAACACAAAAAAAATTATTTCATCAAAGACAATACAGAAAAACCATGGACCAGAGCCAAGTACAGAAAACTAAGCACATGCATCACAAGACTCTCAACCAAACACACAAGACTAAAACAACACCTATATGGAATGAAAATGGAAAACGACCCTTTCTGCAGATGGTGCAAGAACCAAGAAGAAACTATAGAACACATGTTTTTACACTGCCCAAGATTTAACTCTCACAGAACAAAACTAAAAGATGCTTTAAGACGAGTAAACATAAATGATATTGATATAAACCCTCTCATTACAGATCCAGATCAACCATCAACAGTAAATTGCAACAAATAAAGATTTTCCTACAAACAACAAAATTATCCAAGAATTTAAGAAACAAGAAGCCCAGAAAAAGTCAATAGTCTAAAACCCTAAACCAAGAACGAAGAAAAGTGGAGCTTCCATTGGCCAGCGGCTGAGTCTTCTCATGCTAGGTATTCGAGCCTCCAAAAACCTCCATAGGGTAGTCTCCAGTTTATCTTTGTTGCGGTTACACACAGAGATGCCATTCTATGCAGTTGCCAAGGGAAAAAAGCCTGGAGTTTATGCCACATGGTGAGTTGTTGCCGTGTTTAATTTCTTTCTTTCTTTCTTTCTTAGTTACCATATGTATGTAGTGTTTCTCAATGCTAATAATATTTACCTTTTACTGACCCTTTAAAAAAAATCAAAACTCGTGTTGAAAGCAGGTAGATGCATTCATGTAACTCTTACTCTGATAAATGAAGTAAAAGGCAGAGGACTATGGTAGCTCAAAAGACGAAACAGACCTTTTAATTCTTGTATGGAGACATATCATATCTAAGTATGTGTTTAAAGTTTGTAGAGCCATAACACATATCATGTCAGTATATGAATGTAGTATAACAATATTGTTGGCTTTCAATTCAGAGAAAAGTTAGGTAGGCTTATGTCTTATGTCTATGATCCTTTTCTAGGAATCTCTGTTTGTTTGTTTTTTTTTGTTTTTTACATGAAGGTGTTTCTGAAACATTTCTACTCTTTGGGCAAAATACTCAAAAGGTTTAATTGTTGTAAATGTGTGCATAACGTTAAGTACTCCAGTAGTGTTACTGTGTTATTATTTTACTGCGCAATACAATGTGAATTGCTTTGAAATTTGGGAGTGAGTGGACCCACAGCACTTATATATGCGCTCAGAAATTTTGTTATTCCCAGGTGCAGTTCCCTTGGTCTTTGTTTTTTTGTAAAGTATGTATGGAATTTATAGTTTTGTGAAAAAGACCTGCTGCACATTTCTGAGAAGTCTTAGGTTGATAGAAACAGGATGAGAATGATACTACTGGTTCAATATAACATTTATCGCGTAAATTACAACAAAGACATTTATTATCGAATGCTATTTATTATTCAAGTGCTTGATATCAGCTAACTAAAATGGAAATATATTTAGTTGTGAAGTAAAAATATGAGAGGATTGTTTAACGAAAAATTAAAGAAGAAAGAATATTTTCAAGGAGTATATGGTCTTGCGATTTTAACACCATTATCACAATATTAAAATGTATGGTAGATAATTTTTACTGTGTATTAGATTGAGAAAGAACTCAATATGGCTAACTAGTTTTAAAATTTGATGTAGTAAATTTGATTTAACAGAATTTTGTGTGTGTGCGTGTGTGTGCGTGTGTGTGTGTATGTGTGTGTGCATGCGTGCATGCACATATGCATATGTATGTGTTCAGTGTTTTTTCAGAATAGAATTGACAGTCTCAACACATCAGATTGATTTGCCTGGGCAAATCTATTTTTTAGTTGCTTCAGTCAGTCATTATTACGTTGATTATTGTTAAAACTACTGTTATTATATAAGATTCTGTTTTCAGGCCAGAATGTCAGGCTCAGGTCACAGGCTTCCTTGGGGCTCGCTACAAAAAGTTTTCAACAATGACAGAAGCCGAAGAATTCATAAGGGAGAACTCGTCATCAAATGTCATAGACAACCGACAGGCATCATCTCATGTCACATCAAATAAGATAGATATTCGAAGCTCAGCAGCAGGTGCCATAGAAAAGGTGAAACCGTCACAGAATGTAAACACAGCATTTGCAAAAAATCAGAGTAAGTTAGTGTAATTGTATCATCATCATCATCATTGTTGTTGTTATTAGTGTTGTTTTTGTTATTATGATTGTTGTTATTATTATTATTTTTTTATTGTTATTATTAGTAGTAGTAGTATTGTTGTTGTTATTGTTATCATTATTGTTATTGTTATTGATAACAATATTATTATTATTATTACTATTACTATTGTTATTATTGTTGTTGTTGTTATAATTGTTGTTATTATTACTATGATTATTATTATCATTGTTGTTATTGTTGTTATTGATAACAGTATTATTATTATTGTTACTATTATTGTTACTATTGTTTTTTGCTGTCATTACTAGGAACCATTATAGTTATCACTGAGGATAATAATAACCACATTTTTAAAAGATTTCATCTTACAGAAACTGATTCCTTACACACTAGGATTTAGATATGTAGTGTATTCTAAAAGTCTTACTTATTCAGTAACCTGCTGTAGTACGTAAATCATACTTTTATAGTTCAGGGTGCTAGTGTAAGCATACAGTACTGTTAATTAACAATATAAACTTTTTTACGAGGTATGAATTGGATAGTCTTCATTGCAGATAATAATGATGATGGAAGATTAAGCCCAACACTCGTACAAATGAAGCAAGATATGAAGAGGTTACAGAAGGAGTTATCAGACCTGAGGTCCAAGTTTGATGAGTACGTCGCTGAAAAGTCGAGAGGATCGGGTTTCACCTCGCAGACTCGGGGCTTCCACACGTCTGCTGCTGTGCCGGGCAAGAGAAAAAGGGAAAAGAGTCGAGAGGAAGTAATCGATCTCGACCTTGACGAGCCTTCGACTAGTATCAGAAAGACGGACTTCACTGACAGCCGTAGCGACAACACGAAGTTCGTCACCGACAATGACGGATTCCTGGTAGTATTCACAGATGGCGCTTGCGAAAGCAATGGGCGAGTTGGAGCAAAAGCTGGTGTTGGAGTGTACTTTGGGAGAGATCACCCACTGTAAGTTTGCCTTTCTTTGTTTGTATTTTTTGTTTTTGTTTTCATGGAAGATTTTTTAATATTATTGCAATATGCAGAGCCCTATGTACAGAGCTAGTACACAAAACACAGAATCATGTAGAATATCTTATAAAAAAAGATTCAAAAGAAGTAAATGTGCCACTTTTTCAGCAATGTTGCAGAGCCTGTCCGAGGAAGACCAACCAATAACACTGCGGAAATCCAAGCTGCTACATATGCCCTAGAGTTAGCACATGCCTCAGGTGTGTATTTTTCCAAGAATTTACAATAGACAATAAATTTATGTTTAAGATTTTTTTTTTTTTTTTAATGTTTGAAAAAATAATTTATATTGTGAAATTGCATTTTCAAGCAGTGTCACTTTTAAAATGGTACATTTTTTGTTCATTCCCAGTTCCCTATTATTTCATTTTGTTATGTGTTGCCATCAAAAGGTTACAGCAATTTCAAACTTTTGTCACTTAGTCTTATCTTCTTAATCCCTTAGCATTTAGCCAATTCAACCAGATATAAACAGAACTTTTTGTTTTCAACTTCTCTACTTGATAATCAAAGTATGCATTGCCAGTTATCAGTTTCTTCCTTAACAGTCCCTCCTTTTGGTTTCCAGGATTTGACAAAGTGGCAATTCATACGGATTCTCAGTTTATGATTAACTGTATGACCTCGTGGCTGAAGAGTTGGAAGAAGAATAACTGGAAGAAGAAGGACGGGGAGCAGGTCAAGAACAAGGAGGATCTGATGGACTTGGACAAAGCCTCGGAGGGGTTGATGGTGAAATGGGTGAGTGCGAAGTTTGGTTGAGAAGTCTTTCTTTTCTTTCTTTCTTTCTTTCTTTCTTTCTTTCTTTCTTTCTTTCTTTCTTTCTTTCTTTCTTTCTTTCTTTCTTTCTTTCTTTCTTTCTTTCTTTCTTTCTTTCTTTTTTTTTTTTTTTTTTTTTTTGGTCTCACTTTAATGTTTGAAAAAATAATTTATATTGTGAAATTGCATTTTCAAGCAGTGTCACTTTTAAAATGGTACATTTTTTGTTCATTCCCAGTTCCCTATTATTTCATTTTGTTATGTGTTTCATCAAAAGGTTACAGCAATTTCAAACTTTTGTCACTTAGTCTTATCTTCTTAATCCCTTAGCATTTAGCCAATTCAACCAGATATAAACAGAACTTTTTGTTTTCAACTTCTCTACTTGATAACCAAAGTATGCATTGCCAGCTATCAGTTTCTTCCTTAACAGTCCCTCCTTTTGGTTTGCAGGATTTGACAAAGTGGCAATTCATACGGATTCTCAGTTTATGATTAACTGTATGACCTCGTGGCTGAAGAGTTGGAAGAAGAATAACTGGAAGAAGAAGGACGGGGAGCAGGTCAAGAACAAGGAGGATCTGATGGACTTGGACAAAGCCTCGGAGGGGTTGATGGTGAAATGGGTGAGTGCGAAGTTTGGTTGAGAAGTCTTTCCTTCTTCTTCTTCTTCTTCTTCTTCTTCTTCTTCTTCTTTTTTCTTCTTTTTTCTTCTTTTTTCTTCTTTTTTCTTCTTTTTTCTTTCTTCTCTCTCTCTCTCTCTCTCTCTCTCTCTCTCTCTCTCTCTCTCTCTCTCTCTCTCTCTCTCTCTCTCTCTCTCTCTCTCTCTCTCTCACTCTCTCTCTCACTCTCCTCTTTCTCTTTCTCTTTCTCTTTCTCCCCCCCCCCCTCTCTCTCTCTCTCCCTCTCCCTCTGGAGCAATTACTAGTAAGCCAGGCTGGGATATAAACCCAAGTAGATGTTGAAAGGTAGAAAAACACATAGTATAAACCAAAACAAGATGCTGTGAGGTTCAGTATTAATTGCTTGTTAGTGTGATGCTAGAAGTGTGGCTAGTGAGAGCACTTTTGTTCAGTTTTCTATGGTAGAGCAGTGTAAGTCAAGACAAGATGAAATGAGTGTCAGATATTGGCTTTTCAATGTAAAAGATTCCCCTTCCAGATGAGACAAGAGGAGATTCAAAGTAAAGTGCAAAGAGCAGCCAGAGCAGTTGAGGGCAAGGGTAACAGCAGTAGCATTGCATAAACACAAAAACAGGGCAAAGTAGATCACAACAGCTAGGACAATAGATAAAAGAGGAAGGTTGAAGTACATGTGAAGTTAAGATATGTATGGATGATCTCAAGGACAGCCAGATGGTCAAAGATCAACTTGAGAATGATAGACTTTGAACTAAGAGACTAATATTTAGGTGATTTTATATTTAGATTTCTCAGTTGAAATTGGCGCTTGAGTGTTGGGAGGGCTGAGAAAGGGTGAGGGGGCAATATTTAAACTGCATGACTTCCTGTCACATTATGGCAAAACAGTCACTCATGCTGGGTGGCTTCTTATTGTGTTATGAACCTACTTTAAGTTGTGCACGATATATAGTTATTGCTGTGGGCTATGGGGAGGAACAGCTCTTGAAAAGTAGGTGTATGAATGTTCCCACTCTTCAGATTTTTAACCCATTGCTGCCGGGGAAAATGAATAAAAAATGGGGAAAATGCTGTGCTTTCTTTTTTTGTGTGTGTGTGTGAAATATCTACACATTGATGGCTCTGACTTACCTGATTTTACCTTTCCTTTAATTGGCGGGAAAATTTATTTTTTATTAGTGCTATGAATATCGATGGTGTTATTTTTGTTATAGACAGTATAATTACTATAATGTTTTAAACATTAGTAATAGCAAAATAAGATAGCATAAAATATTTTTTCGTAAATTAAAGAAAAGGGTAGACGGGCGAGACAGCCAGTACTTGTAACTGGCTCATTGGTGATTTAGTACAAGTGTAGCCATCTATGTGTAAAAACAGAAAAACAGGTAAACTCACCATGAGCATGGCATGTACGTACATGCCATACCCACCAGGAATGGGTTAAATTGAGTAGCTTGACTGCACACAGAACCTGTCACAGAGATTGGTATGGTTCTGGGAAATTCTATTTTGAGTGGGGGTATACTTAGAGATTGGAAGTAAAACAGGGATTAAACATATGAGAAGAAAAAATCAAAATACACACATAAGAGAGAGCTAAAAATGATTGTGAAAATTATAAACCCAGTAATGTTAAATTAAAGTAGAGTTGTGTCTACATCAAAGAGAATGTAAAACTAATTATGTGAATGTTAGGTACTTTTACACATAAAAAAAACCTTTATTACACCTTTAGTAAAAAGAACAAAGGAAATTTACTGCAGAGATAACACTCTCACTATGCATTTTTCATAATGAAATTGTCTCCAAATTATGTCTAATATGCTGATTCTGCAACTGAAATTGTTATAATAAGATATTTTAAATGGCTGTTAGGAAAAATACGGTATTATTAAAAATATATATAGTGGATGAGAGGTAATGGCCCATGTACAGTCTTAACCCAATGTTGCCGGGAAAATGCTGTGCTCATTTTAGAATTTTTTGTGAAATGTCTGCACATAGATGGCTCTGCAAGTGCTTAGCCACAAAGGAGTCAATTAGTAGACCTTTTGACCATACCTAATTTCACCTTTCCTAGGGTTTGTGGGAAAAACTTAATTGGCTCATTGGTGAATTAGCACAAGTGGAGCCATCTTTGTACAGCAGCAATTAATAAAGTAAATTAATGGTATGCACATCAATGCCATGCTCGTTGGTTTTGGGTCAACAAGTTATATATGAAAAAGTACCAGTACTCTAAACCATCGGCAACCAGTTTACAGTCCCATATCCAAAACCCTTTGAGGCCAGCTGTTTTCTGGTTTCAGATTTTTTAAAGCTTTCAGACATAGAGCTAGCTCTCCCAGTGGTATCTGAGGCTTTACCACATAATCAAACATTGCTACTACAGCAAAAGTATATTAAAACTCGCATTAACCCATTGCCGACGGGCATGCCATGCCCTCTCTGAGATTACTTGTTTGATTGTTTATACACATAGATGGCTACACTTGTACTAAATCACCAATGAGCCAGTTACGAGTACTGCCCATCAAGGCCCTTTACCCTTTTCTTTGATTTATGAAATATTTTACGTTATCTTATTTTGCTATTACTAATGTTAAAAAACATTATAATAATTATGATGGTTATAATAAAAATAACACCATCGATATTCATGGCACTAGTGAAAAATACATTTCTCCGCACACATAAAAACACACACACACACACACACACACACACACACACACACACACACACACACACACACACACACACACACACACACACACACTTTTTCTCTCTCTCTCTCTCTCTCTCTCTCTCTCTCTCTCTCTCTCTCTCTCTCTCTCTCTCTCTCTCTCTCTCTCTCTCTCTCCATAAGTGTAGGAGGGTGTAGAGTGAGACAAATCTGGGCAAACAATTGTTTATTGGTGAAGTTCTTGGCATACAGAGTTATGGTGTGAAAGAGCCTCGGAGTAAATCTTGTCTAGTATCACTCCCAAGTTTAAAGTCAAACGATAACAAGGAAATGAAAGACGTCTCCACTAGGGTGAGAATCCAACAGAGAGGTCTGGCTCGTCTTGGTCTGTGCACCGATCAAGTGCCCAGCTGCAGATGGCAGAGAAGTGGTGTTTATACACATTAGTCATTTACACATGTGTAGATAAGGTAGGTAAATTATAAGGAAATTACATGAAAATAATACTTCACTAAGAGCAAAATATGGGAATCACATGATAAGGGCATTGGTGTGAGAGTCTATGGTAATTAGCTTACAGATGAGATGGACTGATGTGTGACATAGACTTATGAGGGTAGAACTGATGATGTGTGGTGTGTTAACCCATTCGCGCCGGGTAAAAATGAACAAAAAAATGGGGGAAAATGCTGTGCTCATTTTTTATACTTTTTGTGAAATTTCTCTACACTAGATGGCTCTGCCTTACCTGATTTCATTTGGCAGGAAAATGTATTTTTTACTCGTGCTATGAATATCGATGGTTATTTTTATCATAAACATTATAATTACTATAATGTTATGAACATTAGTAACAGCAAAATAAGATAATGCAAAATAATTTCGTAAATTAAAGAAAAGGGTAAACAGGCGAGACAGGCAGTACAAGTACAAGTGTAGCCATCTATGTGTGAAAACAATCAAACAAGTAAACTCACAGTGGGCCCGTCACGTATACATGACGCCCAGCGCAAATGGGTTAATTAGTGTAGGATTGATATAGGTGTTTGAAAACTTATGCTATGAGAGCAGATAGGTTTTCTGGCTTATTCGTCATTTACATGATGATGTACTCACTGGTACATGCAGTGTCCATTTGATTTTTTAAATTTAAATTTGTAAGCACCTAGATAACTTCACAAATGCTCAGTCACCAAGGAGGCATTTATAAGCCCTACCTGATCTCACTTAGTTACCCCACTCCATGAATATTCAGGGAAGAAGTGTCTGTCTGTCATTATTTTGTTATCATCATTAAAATGGATGGATTGAGTAGATGAGGTTAGGTTGGCCAAATAATTTACACCTTGCTGACTGCAGTCCTCTGTGTGCAAGGAAAATCAGGAAAACAAAACATAGTGGACAGTGCATGTAAACAACACTCCCAGTGCCAACACAGTTTAAATTGGAGGTGTTATCTTGAAGCCCAAATGTTTTCTTTCTATGTTTTTTTTCCATTGCATTGATAAACATATTTGACCCCTCTGTCTTTACAGGTACATGTGAAAGGTCACTCGGGCAATGTTGGTAACGAAGAAGCAGACAGACTAGCCAGGGAAGGTGCAAAACTTTATAAACAAGATCAGCAGTATTAGCACAAATGCATTTGATAGTGCTGTAGTGGACTCTAATGTGTTCTTCCAAGTTTCATATAAATAATGTCTTTTCATTGGATAAATGTAATATATTTGAATACATTAAAGGCTGTGATGAATAGTTGTTTTGTCTTGATCACTTCCCTAACCTACTGGCCGCAGATGGCAAAGGTAATTGTCATGCACACGAGTAGTCAAATATTAGTCCTGCCTGTCACACCTGTTGACCCATTTGATTTTCAGAATCAAGGAAATATTTTTATTTTAATATTTTTATTTTCATTGTTATTAGTGTTCTAGTAATATATTTATATCCTATAAATTCAAGGAGTGCAGAAATCAGGCATGATCATATGAACTTAGTGACTCCTTAGTGGCTGATTATGCCATCTGTGGGCAAGAAATTCACAAATAACTACTGTGAACCGTACATAAACCCACAGCCAATGGTTTAAAAGGTAGAATGTATGTATGCCAAGTTCCATTTATAATTTACTGTAGTACTGTATTCAAAGTATCACCAGTAATACCATTGCCTTTAATCAGATCTCCCTGTTCACAAGATCTGCTTTTATCATAGGAGCTTGTTTGTGTAGTAAATGTGACTTCTGTGATAAGTGATATACTTGCCTAAATTTACTCTACTGTAAGATCATGGATGATTTGATATCACATTTTAATAGTATCCTGTGAAATTTTCCCCACCGTCAAAGGAACTTTGCATTGGGAAGGTAATGATCTTTTTTGGGTTAGGATATTTTTTCTACTTTATTTGTGAATGGGTAAACACTGATTTCACTATTCTTATTTATTCTGTTTTAAAAGTTTCAGAGGTAGTAGAAACCATTTTCATATTTATTTTTGTCTAGGTAAAATGGAATAGTTTTTCATGTATGCCAAGTTCTGTTTATAATTTACTGTAGTACTGGATTGAAAGTACCATCAGTAATACCATTGCCTTAATCAGATCTCCCTGTTCACAAGATCTGATATAGTGTTGTAGAAGCTTTTGTCATAGGAGCTTGTTTGTGTAGTAAATGTGACCTCTGTGATAAGTGATATACTTGCCTAAATTTACTCTACAGTAAGATCATGGATTGTCATTAAAGGCATACCTTATTTTTATATTCTAAACATGTTATGTGATATAGCTTGTTCCTCAGGCTCAGGGTTATTTTTTTTATCAGTATCAGGGCTTCCCCACCATTAAAGGAACTTTGCATTGAGAGGGTCATTGTCTTCATGTTAGGATATTTTTTTTCTGTATCATGCAGATATATCCTTTTTATATATAAAAACCTAAGGAATTTTTTCACAAAAGACTGGAAATTTCATACATGCTTAAGAAATGGGAGTGATTGTATTTTGTTTATGCACATTCATGCATGCATGTGCACACATCCCACGCACTCATATACATACACGCAGACACACACACACACACACACTCACGCACGCACGCACGCACGCACGCACCCACACACACACACACACACACACACACACACACACACACACACACACACACACACACACACACTCACACACACACACTCACTCACTCACTCACTCACTCACTCACTCACTCACTCACTCACTCACTCACTCACTCACACACACACACACACTCACTCACTCACTCACTCACTCACTCACTCACACACACACACACACACATATACATAAAATAGTGCATTCAAACACTGTGAAATGTTAACAAATTTTGTAATTATTTTCTGTTGTGCATAAAGCAAATTTGCTCTGTTGACCAAACATTTGGATAAATAAACTTATTGAAGATATTTTTAATGGACTTTAATTATCATATTTTGAAGTTAGAAATAAGATAATTCCCTAACCAAGTTAAGTTAGGGATATTAAGATATTTCCCTAACTGGCCTGTAGAGTAAGTGATGAAATTAAAACCATATTCAAAACTAAAGTCTCCCATGAATAGTTATTGTAAGGAAGTTGAATCAAAGATGTTAGATACTTGCATCTACAAAAAACTTTACAGATATAAAGGGATGTCTCCTTCATTTTACTGATACACATGATTTATTTTGTTAATAAATAGAGATTAAAAGTTTCCGGGAAGGACATAAGCCGTGGAATAGAGACACTTTTTGCATAATGATATATTAAATTATGGAGTGCAACCTTACAAAATTACTACTTCACATTGCATACTTAACAGACACAAATTAAATATGAGGTGTAATATGGATTCATCCTGGAGAAACTAGATTTAGAAAAGATTTTCTCAGTACAGTCCATTTTTCCTTTAAAATATATATAGGACTTTTTTCATACCAATCAAAAGTCATGCATGGTCTTGTCAATAAATAAGACAAAAAAAATAAAGAAATACCTAATAACTATTTACATAAAACATGTTTAGGTGTGAATTGGGAATTTTTTATAGGACTTGTTCACTTCCTCCTTGATAATTTAATAAGAGCTCTATGTCCTCCAAGGTAGCTATCAGGCAAAGGAAAGTTACATTTTGTAGAAACCCAAGAGTGATAAAAATGGAAATATAGAGTAATAGGTAATAATGAAATTAATGACATAATTGAAATTATGTTTTCACCTAAGAAAACATTTTTCAAAATTCCAATTATGGTTTTACCAAACAGGAAAAGCTTAAGGACAAATTCAGAGGAATAAAGTATATAGTCATTTCCCCAAAGCAATTTAAAATTTAATCAAATAAAAAATAGTAATTTGCCACGAATGAAACTGAAAAAGGTCCTCTTATCTGATGTTCAAAAGAACTTATATCATGTTTTACAAGAGTTTTGTCTGTCATTTTGCATATAAGTAATACAAGTGACTAACGGCATATTTTGTACAGTGACAGAAGTGATTCCAAAAAAGAAGTGAATACTTCAGTGATTCAGTATAATACCATTATCATTAAAATGTTCTGAATTTGAAGGATTTTTTCAAACTATCAACTAGTGAAACTTGATTATTAACACTTATTGTAAATGTAAATTAGAGAGAAGACACATAATAACTGACAATCTATTAGTTGATTTCTGTAGGTGATAGGAAAACAGTACAAGAAATTTATAAAATCAAGTTAGAATGTTTAAAACATTAAGAAAGTGATTTTGTTGTGTCCACCCTTGTAGAAACATTTATAAATCATTTCTGAAGCAATTACATAACTATAACCTTTTGATAAAGATAAAAAAAAAATTCATTTCAAAATCAGAAATGAAGTCTTTAGTGGAATTTTTTAATACAGTATGAAATTTGAAGTATTAGTGTAGGGTTTCTTTTACCTTAGTTGTCATTTTCAGTTTTTCTACCATTCTATCTTTTAAAGGGAAAATACTTGAAAAACTTAAAAAGATCTACAAGAGGTCTTTTCTTTTTATTACAGTGGTACCAAAGTCATAAAAATCCATGCCTGTCAATAAGCCCCTTAATTTCTTTTTCTTTTAATTACTCAGATATTTAAATTTTATTGAAAATTCTGAAAATGATCTATCTCTTTCGACATTTGATTGTATGCATTTCTTGCCTCTCACACATCATAAAGGTCGTAGTTGGTCAAAACAGAGACTTTTCTACTATTCCGAGTAGCTTTCCATCCATAGACTGAAGTGTAAACTCATTCATACATACAAAAACTATATATATATGCAAGCCACGTATCTGAGTATAAATAAGACATCAGCAAGCCTTTATAATAATATCTAGATTTTAAGACCAAATGATCCTCCTGTCCTCTCAGAAACAATCCAAAAAATGATGGAAAAAGATGAAGGGGACACAGACACTGGCAATCAATCATCAAAGAGAAAGAAAATGTTGATATACATAATAATGCCTTATGTACCCAAATTTGTATTCATATCAAAATGACTTAGTCTGTGCTAGAAGTTAAACAATGACTTGTCTTCAAACTTAAAAACAACTGGTGAGTGTGGCCTGTCTCTGTAATGTTAAGTTCCTAACTGAATGTTTATAAAGATGTTATGGATATTCAACATATGTGTACTAACATTAGTAGGATAGACAGATAAGCAGACAGACAGATATATGTAAGTCTGTCTGTACCTCAGTGTTCAAAATTGGATGGAAATGAGATACAGAAATTTAAATATTAATTTATTTTCAAAGGAAAGTAATAAAGAACAATAAATCTAGACCTACAAGAAAGTAATATGAGTAAATGTTACTCACATTTAGCCCACAAATTAAATTCTCATATATGACTTTGCTTGTGTTACATTTGGAATAAAACATCCCAGAAAATATTCAGTTCACAGCCAATCAATATTTCCTTTTTGCTTAATATTCCCAATACCAAATATGACATATCAAAAATATGAAAACGATATACTAGAATGTATTACCTACTTCTTCAAAACATAAACACTATCAGAATCAAACCATTACTTCATATCAACATCTTCCTTAGCGGGATCGAAAGTTTCATCATCCATGGGTTGCGTTTCAATCTTCCGTTTCTTTGGGGGGATATATGACCCCAAGCCACCTGCTCTTTCCGATTCCTCTATGGTGTAGGGTTCTAACTCTAGTGACTTCAAGCGCTTCTTGTGAGGTTTCGATTTGAAATGGCTTTTCAGTGCTTCACGGTTTATAAAGTATCGCCTGTGGGTGTATAAATAAATAAGTAAATACAACAATGTCTTTATTACTTAAATGAAAGTATTTAAATGATGAGGTGAACTGTTCAACTGCCCTTTCTTCTATAGGAATGGTATTTTCACTAAAACAATCTTTTATTATAGTAAAAAAGATATTCAAAATGGGAAAAATTATACAAACTAAATAATACAATTGTACCTTTAGCAAACTATTGAACTCTAATTCCAAAATCAAAGATATACTATGGGAAAAACTTACGCGCAGTGGACACAATAATGCTGAGCATCTCCGGGCAAGTCTGGGTCAACCTCTTGGTGTAGTAATTTATGGATATTTTCTTCTTTGAGGTCATCATCAATCTATGGATATTTCATTCAGTTAATATATACACAATTATACCAAAAGCATCAACCTATCATAAACAAGTCAGAACCTTCTCTCAACAAAAACTATACCTCCTAAACTGTACAGCCATAAAATAGCCTTTAAA